ATGTATTTATCTAAAAAATAGTTGACAAAGTGATAGAAAATTGAGAATAAAAAAGAAAAAAAAAACTAGGCTGGGGCAAATTACTTAATCTTTTGTAGCCTCAGTTTCTATATCTATAAAAGGGGACCAAAAAAGTCTTACCTCCCAAAGCTGTTGAGAGGAGTAACGAAACAAACGTAGACATGGTGTATGATACAGATTAGGGGCTCAATCGATGACTGCTATGTCTTTAAAATCTCAATAAGATAATTCCCTTAGTGTGGGAGTATGTGTGTGAGTGTGACTGTTGTAGCATGTGTTTGTATATATATGAAGTGTGGTAAGGGTAAAGCAGGGACAAACCACACCGGCTAGGGTCATGGCAGATTCCGGAGAAGGTAACTTTTGAGTTCTTACAGAGAAAATGTGGAGTGTGACAAGTCGTAGGAGGCCCAGAGGCCTGTGAGCTGTAGCGGAATCAGACATTTGGTAAACTGGAATATGGCTCTTATATATGCTTTTCATATTTTACTACAGAAAATTTCAAAGGTATGCAAAATGGAGAGACTAATATAATACACCCCTGTCTACCTGGCTTTGACAACTATCAATTCAGGGCCAATCTTGTTATATTATATCCCAAGCTACTACTTCTCCATTGCTAGATTATTTATAAGCAAATCTCAGAATCATGTAATTTCATCTATGAATATTTTAGCATTATGCTTCTTATATTTTCTTGTGGCCTTCTCATTATTTAATAAAATCTTAAAAAAAACCAAAACGGTAAGTGCATCTGATTTAGTATATATACTAATGTGGAAAGATCTCATAAACGTTCAATGTGATAAGCTACAGACATCACAATTACGTTTAAAAGACGCAAACAAAAAACAAACAGTAAAATAGATGTGTGTGCTTCAAAACATATAAGTATATATAGAAAGATCACTGCACAAATGTGCATCAAACTACTAATCCTGATAACCTCAGAGGAGGGGAGTAGTGATTTAAAGGGTGAACTCAGGGCACCTGGGTGGCTCAGTCGATTAAGCATCTGACTCTTGATTTTGGCTCAGGTCATAAGGCCACGGTGATGAGATTGAGCCCTGTCTTGGGCTCTATGCTCAGCTCAGAGTCTGCTTGAGATTCTTTCTCTCCCTCTCCCTCTGCCCTTCCCCCGCTCACTCTCACTCTTCCTCTCTAAAATAAATAAATAAAATCTTTTTTTTAAAAAAGAGTGAACTTAAGGGGTGGCTCAGTCAGTGAAGCATCTGACTCTTTTTTTTTTAAAGATTTTATTTATTTATCTGACAGATAGACAGCGAGAGAGGAAACACAAGCAGGAGGAGTGGGAGAGGGAGAAGCAGGCTTCCCGCTGAGCAGGGAGCCCGATGCAGGGCTCGATCCCATGACCCTGGGATCATGACCTGAGCCGAAGGCAGACGCTTAACGACTGAGCCACCCAGGCGCCCCAGCATCTGACTCTTGATTCAGGCTCAGGTCATGATCTCAGGGTTGTGAGATCGAGCCCCACGGTGGGCTCTACTTTGGGCATGGAGCCTGCTTGGGATTCTCTCTCTGCCCATCCTCTCTCTCTCTCCTTCCCTCTTAAAAAAAAAAAAAAAAAAAAGAGTGAACCTAAGAATTTTGTCCTGTAGGCATTTACATTGTTTCACACTCAAATGAGAGACAATATATTCATCATTACTTATGTAATTTTGTTTATAAAAAGAAGAGAATCGAGGCACTGAATGAAGCACTTTGCTCGTTGCTGCCCAGAGTGACAGGAACTCATCTGGGAAACGTAAAGAAGTCTCAAGTGCAGATTTGAGTTTCTAGCTATGAAGTGACCTTCCAACTTCCTTCCTAATCAAGTTTTTTTTTTTTTTTTCCACTGCCAACTAAAAATACACTACCCAGTTCAGGAGCCCTGGCTGACTGAATAGCAGCGGCTGCCAAGGCCCTACTTTGCATATTGAAACAACCTTGGAGGATAAACAGCAGCAGCTTGCGTCCCGGCTCCTGTGGAGGCACGGCGGGAGCTCCTCACCCTTGCCTCCGCATCATCGTCCCCGCACATTTTCAGGAGACAGTCTCTGGCCACTGTTGGCTTTTCCCCCTTAGCGTCCGGAAACCTCCTGCAAATGCTGTTAAGAGCATTAGTCGGTAGTCAAAGCTTCGGTGCAGGGCTAACATTCTTCAGCTCTTTTTCAGCTCGCTGTTTCAGAAAGCACATCATCCACTGCTAGTTCCTTGTCCTCTTGTGTTTTTTGGTTTGTTCTGTTTTGTTTTTGAGAGAGAAAGAAAGAGATCCTATTTCTGTTTGGAGGAGACAGAGCAAAGAGAGGCAGGCAAGGAAATCCGCCTCCCCCCCACCCCCCGACTTTTCCAGGTTCCTCATTTGGTTATAAGGAGGTGGTGATAAAACAAAACAGAACAAAAAACCAAAACAAAACAAAAAAGGAGATGGTGTTACCAATAAAATGGAAACTAGAAATAGAAAAGTTCCGGAAAATGAGCTGTGCTGTAAATGTAAAACACAAGGCACTCAAAGTGGTAATAATTCTAAATACAATTTATAATGCAAAATAAAGACAGTTTAAGAGTCTGCAATATATTCTGTATCTAATTCTGATACACAATGTCCTAGTCTTCACATACAAGAATGATGCTGACTGCTGCCATTCATATGGCATGCAGATGCATTTTGAAGAGTTCCTTAAAAAAATCATGTGATCGGGGAGCCTGGGTGGCTCAGTCGGTTAAGCGTCTGCCTGTGGCTCGGGTCATGATCTCAGGGTCCTGGGATGGATCCCCTGCAGCAGGCTCCTTGCTCAGCAGGGGGACTGCTTCTCCCTCTCCCTCTGCTTCTCCCCCTGCTTGTGCTCGCTCTCTTTCTTCTCAAGGAAATGAATAAAATCTTTGAAAAAAAATTAAAAGTCATGTGATAGACTGTACAAAGCTATGCTTACAGCTGGTCAATAAAAATTGTCCTATAAGATATTGTCCTATAAGATATTCGAGCTGAACTAAACTTTACAGTACCTACTCCAACCTTTCTTCTCAAGTCAGTGGTTTCTTCAGCTCCTGTCCACCTCTCCCCTGTCCCCAGGGCTCACACAGAAGGAACCAGGATCAGAGTGATAGCAACACTGCCCCCTTGGCTCCCAGACCCCAGACACACATTATCCTTGGCCTCTGTGTCCTTACCCTCTGTCCATCCCAATCCTCCTGCAAATCAAATCCTGGCAGGATCCCCATGGATTCATCAGCTGGACAGGACTGAGTCTCAGCTTGATCTGATTGTCCTGCCCCACAGATTAGACAGACAAGCCCTCCTCCAGACAGTTCTTTAATGCTTGGAAACTGCTCTGGGGTAATGACAAAGATTCTTTGCTCGGCTAAACTTTAGTCAGGCTCCTGAACCTTCTTCTAGGCTCATCTGTGCACTTCCTCATAAAATCCTGTTTTAGCAAGAACCCTGCTATGTGTTAACCAGAATGCCCTGCCCTTAATATCTAATCACCTCAATATCTGATCGAATTCCTCAGCCCCTACCTTCCCCCAGGTGACATCTGGTCACCTGGCCTGCCTTCAGCAAGAATCCTGTTAGAGGTCAGTTTAGCCAGAATCTCCCCTGACCCCTGATGTTCTCTCTCAGTACTTTTCTATCTGCTGACCCCCACCCTGCCGATCCTTGGCTATAAGTCCCACTTGCCCAGGCTGGCTGCAAAACGACCCCGAAGTACTAAGCAACAGTAACAACACAACACAGTGGTGTGTGTACATAACACACTCTGTGTTTTCCTAACCACTCCCTCCTGTTAAAATATCCTGGCCTAAGAAAAGCAACGACAATTACAACAGGATGTTTGCTCTCTATAAAGCACTTTCTAGGTGAGTAGCAGACACGCTAAAAGAGGAAGAGATGAATAAATTCCAGCAAGATCTTGAGCAAATTATTTACTTGAGCAAATTATTTACAAATAAAAAAAGAGGCTGTGGCTCAGGTCATGATCTCAGGGTCCTGGGATGGAGCCCCTGTGGCAGGCTCCTTGCTCAGCAGGGAGCCTGCTTCTCCCTCTCCCTCTGCTGTTCCCCCTGCTTGTGCTCGCTCTCTTTCTTCTCAAGGAAATGAATAAAATCTTTAAAAGTGGTTTCTTTTTTTATTTGTAAAACGGGAGAGTCATAACTCCCATCTCGGTTCTTGGCGTTTTATTTTTTTATTTTTTTTAAAGATTTTATTTATTTATTTGACAGAGAGAGAGACACAGCGAGAGAAGGAACACAAGCAGGGGGAGTGGGAGAGGGAGAAGCAGGCTTCCCGCAGAGCAAGGAGCCCAACGCGGGGCTCAATCCCAGGACCCCGGGGTCATTATCTGAGCCGAAGGCAGACGCTTAACCGACTGAGCCACCCAGGCACCCGATTCTTGGCGTTTTGATGAAATAATGCATGGGAAAGCAAAAAGCACCCCACAAATGTGACTGGTTCCAAGAGCCAAATCACTGCAGCTGCAGATGCCAATTAGAGAGCTGCAGAGTCAACGGCTTCTGATTGGCCATAATTTTTAAAAAATTATGTTTTCTGGAGGTATCATTGTTTGCTGGGAAAAACATGATGACATGGCCGAAAAAAAAATTAAGCAGTAAGTTTAACTGCGCAGTTCCACCACAGTGACACAACTATTAAATTTTTACCGTTTACCTTCAACATAGCTACTATTTTTTAGAGGGTTTTAATCATACTTCGGCAGTTTTTAAAAGTCTGTAGGGTCCAAGCAAACAAAAGAATCTCCAGGCTCCAGAAGAAAAAATAACCAAAAACCAAAAAACCATCAAGGCATGTGTTCTGAGTTGCTAAGAAACGGGGTTGGTGCGAGGCCTCGCCGGGCTGGGGACATCTGCGCGGCCCGTCCGCTGCGGGAGCCCAGCTCGGGCCGCGCGTGGCCGAGGGAGGGGCTGTGGAGCCCGCCCCGCCCCGACCACCTGGGGAAGGAAGCGGAAAAGGGGAACCGGCAGCAGCCCCTGCAGTTCCTTCTCTTCTCGCTCTTGGGACGCTACCGCCGCGCGGAAAGCAGCTGCGGGCGAGCGGACTGCCACAGAGGAGGAGCTTTCGGCCGCAGCCTAGTAACACCGAGGTAACTTTACTTGCCCTCTTCCCCGCCCGCGTGAGGAATGAACGCCGCCTGTCTTATTTTCTTCCAGGGGCAACCGCAATATTCCCACCCCCCCCCCCGCCACCCCGGGGGAGAGATGTCCCAGCCACGTGTCCCCTAGGTCGGGAACAGGGCTTGGTTTTAGAAATTGGGCATTTCTAAATGAAAAAAAAAAAGTGAGTCGTGCTCTATAGGCAATTTACCTTGATAAGGCAATGGAGGAAACCACTTGGCTGTGACTGGTAAATGTGTCCCCAGGCAACCGTATTTGAAATACCACTGTTTGCAGGACGCAGTGCTGGTCCTGAGGGGAGCTCCAGAGGCAGCCAACTGTCCTCTTCACTTGGTGCACTGAACTGGAGCTAGCTTCCACTTCGGGATTTAGGCTTATAGGAAGAAAATAGAGGCGGGAAGCCACAGACTAGCCAGAACTGAAGACATCTTTCGGTCATTCCTACTGAACTGGGTTATATCTAACTGGAACTTCCTTTTGCCTCTTTGCTTTAACTACCAAGGAAGGTGAGCCCGCGTTGGGTGTCTTCCAGGAAGCCCTACGCTCTTCTCTGATGCAGCCCCCTTCCCCCCCCAGATAGATCAGCTCGGGGTGACTCATTTGCCCTACTTCCTGGCCCTTTCAGAGCGCAGGCCTGTGTTTGAAACCTGACATGGTAAAGACACTTCCTGCTTTTGGAGGAGAGGCTCTTCTTCGATGTGCCTGCGTGGATTTGTGTTCCTCCCGAAAAGAATGGCTGATGTGTGCACCTGGCCTTTCTCCCCTAGGGATTAGCAGGAGCCACCATGGGTTCTGTGAATTCCCGAGGTCACAAGGCAGAAGCCCAGGTGGTGATGATTGGCCTCGACTCAGCTGGGAAGACCACACTCCTGTACAAACTGAAGGGCTACCAGCTGGTGGAGACCCTGCCCACTGTTGGTTTCAACGTGGAGCCTCTCAGAGTCCCTGGGCATGTGTCTCTGACCATCTGGGATGTGGGGGGGCAGACCCAGCTGAGGGCCAACTGGAAGGACTACCTGGAAGGCACGGATGTCCTCGTGTATGTGCTGGATAGCACAGATGAAGCTCGCTTGCCCGAGGCGGTGGCTGAGCTCGTGGAAGTCCTTAATGATCCACACATGGCCCACGTCCCTTTCTTGGTGCTGGCCAACAAGCAGGAGGCGCCCGATGCTCTGCCGCTGCTCGGGATCAGAGACAGGCTGGGCCTGGAGAGATTCCAGGACCGCAGCTGGGATCTCCGGGCCTGCAGTGCCCTCACCGGCGCTGGGCTGCCCGAGGCCCTGCAGAGCTTGAGAAGGCTCCTGAAATCCCGCTGCCACTGTGTCTCCAGGTGAGCGCAGGTGCAGCGGGGGAGTGGGGAGAGCAAGAAGACTGGATCCAGGCAGAGCAGCGTGCCTTTGCCCATATGAACTGAAAGAAGCAGCTAGTCCTTGAGAATCTGAAACTCAGTTTGTCAAATAAGACGTCCTTCCGTGCTTGGACAGGATATTTTCTTCTTGGGGCTTATTGTCACGAGGGTTTATGCTGAAAACCAACTATTCTTTGAATAATAATACTGTAAGGGAAAAAAAATGCCTCAACATACTTCCTTTAATAACTCATTACCAAGGGTGAACTGAGCAATTGTAATAATAGAACAATGAATGGTTGCATTACAATTAAGACCTAAATTTACAGAGGGAAAGAGATTTCAAAATCAGATTAGAATATCATCTGGACATGGTTACGATCTTAGGAGTGATTTTTCCCTGGTGCCCCTGGGTATGTGCCACGATCACTGTGAGTGCAAGCTGCCAGGGCTAGCAGATAGGAGTAGGTGACTCTGGCCCCACGGAACCTTGGGTTTAGAAGTTCGCTCGGGCATTTGGCCCTGGGCAAGACGCTGGGAGTTAAAGCCTTCCAAAATTTATCCTTTTCTCTGACCCTGATGAACTCTTCTCCACCTTTTATCATCTTGTATTGGTCTTTCTCTAAAATGCTTCATTTTTATCTTTTTTTCTTTCCCTTTTCTCCATACAGCACATATCTTTCCTTAAAGATCAGATTAATCAAATATTTCATTCATTTATTCATTCATTTAATCAACAAATATGTAGAGCATTGAATTTGGGCAAACAGCACTGAGTTTTTAGTTTTGAGCCAGGCCCTTGAGATGGGAGGTGTGGATTTTGAAGATACATGTAACAAAAATGCTTCTTTCTCATTATTAACAGTAAAAAAGAAAACTGAACATAGCATCCTACAAGGGTTTTCAGGTGATCTTTACCTAGGAACCATGAAGCTCCTGAAATTATTTGCAGAATTATTTGCAAAACGTTATGCTTTGAGCCTTTTTTGGGGGGGCGGGGGAAGAAGATCCATAACTTTTATCAGACTTTCAAAGGCTTTTGTAACTCCCAGAAGTTAAGAATCACTGATCTGGTCTTACCTATCATCCAACGGAGGAATACTTTTTATAATCTGAGCTTTTTAATGGCAAGCAGCTCGTACTTGACACCTGCTCTCATGTTAAACAGCTCTACATGTTAGTTATTCCTACTCTGGACTAAAACCTTCCTCCTTATGGATGGTGGTTCTCCCCTCTCTGGAGTGACACAGTATAAATGGGCCCTCAACACTCTTCCAACATCTGAGATCCACTAGGTCCCTCTACCCAAATTCTTCCTTCTAACATCAGGTTAGGCATGCTCCATTCTTTCCACTACTTGTCAGTAGATAGGTTTTCCTGTGTCAGGCACAGGAAAGTACAAAGATGCAAAGACAGATTGGACAAGGCCTCAGGCCTCATGGAGCTCTGCTTGGGGAAGCAGTAGGACAAAACTCCCATAAAAAAAGCAGATAGAGGCTCAATTCAGCAACTGTTTATTGAGCACTTACTGGGGTCAAGTTCTGTGCTGGGTGCTTTCCATAGTTATCTCAAATTCTCTCAATTCTGCAAAGTAGGTATCATTCTCATGTTGCATAATTAGAAACTGAGGCTGGGGGAGGTTCTGACTTGCTTGAGGCACAGAACTATTAAGTGACATATAGCAGAAGGAGACTGCTTGGAAGTATGAGGGGGAGTGAAGGAAGGACAAGTAAGCTGGCGTGGGGTGAGGGGTGGATGAGGGGGCTGTATTATAATAGGAAACAAAACTGGGAAGAACTTTAAGTCCAAGCTGGGGAAAATTTGGACTTTTGCTATCTGGATTTGGCTCAGGGAAGTGAAATCAGTGGACTTAACATTTAGGAGGATAATTTAGTGGCTGTGTAGGGTGGAATAAAAAGAAGGGGGACACTGGAGTCGGGCAGGCAGGGAGACCAGCTAGCCGCCCTTTGCGGTAACAGAGGAGAGAGGAGGAAGAAAGAGGAGAAATTGAAAGCCATTTTTGAGGGAAAAAGCTGAGAGAAGAACAAGTTGAAGATGGCGTTAAGATTTTGAGTGTATGTGACAGGAGCGATTGAAATGACCTGAGAAGGTGGACACAGGAGGAACAAGTTGGGATGGGGCCAGAACTGGTGGGTTCTGGTCTTGAAGTGCTGGGTATGGATGTTTGGGACGGGGCCAGAACTGGTGGGTTCTGGTCTTGAAGT